CATGTTATGTTCTCGAAAGATAATGACTAACCGTGCGTTCTATTATTTGACTAGCTATTTACAATAATGTTTGAATTTACGACATTGAAGGCACCGGATTTACAGATCGTATTATATATAAAAGGCAAACACACATATGGCTGTAGTTTATATAGACTCGAAAACTACTTGATCGATTTTAACGAACATTTTAGAAATTCTTCTTAAACATACCAGTAAAGTTTATAGAGTAGTTTTAATTACGTCCGGATAGGTGGCGTTGAACAAAATTTGCATTAAAAATATACTTGTCGATTTCATTTCCTTTCCATATAAATCTGCAGTGGTTTTCAACCGGGGGGGTCCCCAAAAATAACGAACAAATGGTTATTCATATAGTATCAAAATGTAAATCTATTGTTTACCATTTGGAGGGGTCACATGAAAAAAAAAAATAAAAAACGGGGAATCGCGATTCAAAAAAGATCGGAAGCCACTGATATAAAACTACTTTAATAGTATTATAACACTAACATTAATAACAAGTTCCATGGATAATAATTGTTCGATTTTTTCCCAAACGGTAATAGGCGGTACAGCTCTAATGTGTGCATTCCGTAAACGAATGGAATCGAAAGACGAAAATCACTTTTGGGTTTTGCCTACGCGGCACTTATAAAGGGTATATCCTTGTGTACACATAAATACATAATATATTGCGACTGGCCTCACTGTATACACGTGTGTCGTTTAATTTCGATTCCACTTGTACACCAACGTCGGTATTATTTCGAGACGGTTCTCAAAGTCTGCGAGCGGAAAATTCTCGAACACCCTGTGGAAAAACACATATTATACGGAGTGAAGTCGCAGTATAATATGGCTGTTGCGGTCTTCGCAACCCCAACGAAGGAGTAGAGCATAATCTATATGAATACCTATACATAGAAGTTTAAACAGTGTGCGTATATATATATATGTATACCCGTAGTCACATATAGGCATACGCGCATGTAGGCATAAAGGCATTTATATATAGGCTTTTCGTTATATACACAAAATAAAACAATTTCGTCCGGTCCGGCGGCGGCGGGCAAACATTGCACACGGGGCGCGGTGTATATTATTGCGATATTTCCAATTAAATCCTGCGGGGATTTTTAATAAGCTCAGAGCCCTCCGGCGGCGGCGGCGGCAAGGATCGTGCTGTTTTTACAAACCTCTCACGACCGTAATAATTACGATGGGGCCCGGTCGCCGGCCATCGTCTTGTCACCACCGCCGCCACCACTAGTCAACTGAAATGACTGTTTGCAAGTCACCGAGCCCTCGGTTTTCCCGGGAGGATCCGTTCCGAAAAATCACACACGCCATACCGCCGATATTGAGTTATCGCGCATAATAAAATAGTAAATATATCGTTAAATATTAAAGTAAAAATCATTTTACCGTCGCTGCGATTAAAACACTTATAAATCAATCACGCACTTTTCTAAAGTTGGTTTAGATCTCTCGACAAACGCGTCCTAGGTTAATTAATTGTTAATTGTTAATCTTAAAGACAGTCGTTAAACACAATATGGTTAACCGATTCTCCTGATTAGAATTACATTTTTATTTCTCTTCCCACATTGGTTCTAAATTGTATAAATTGGTATTTGACCAGTAAATTACCTTATTGTCATTATCATATCTCATTAATTCATCACAAACGCCCGCGTGGGAATATCCACCAAGCCGCCGCCACAATGTCGTCCTGAGTTTAAAAATCACTTCATGTGTGCCTGACAACAGCTGAGTCTCGTATGCCCACGGTTTTGCGTTTTTGCCAAGACACTAAAATTACAATAATAATATAGTCATCACCGTATCGTACGATTTTCGAAGCCATAGAAAAAACCAACCGGTTGGTACACGTGTGTTTTAATAAGCATACATTTTTCAATACAACCGAATTTTCAATCGGTATCGTGCTGCGGCGACAAGAAATCCTTAAGCAAAACTGCGTGGTTCCGAGCCTCTGCAACGGTGGAGCAAGTAGAATAAATAATGAGAGAACACACACTTTGGCCCCTCAAGTAAGACTTCTCGCAATGCTAGTAATCTTTCTCTGAAGCGATTAAAAAGTAAAAACTATCTCACCTTAAAAACAAAAAGCATAACAATTGATTTTACACCACGATTATATCGAAATAATTTACACCATACCATACCATAATAACGTTATGAAATAACATAAATAATATTGTGGCAACAATATCGTTATTGGTATAATATATCACATTATTTGTATATGCATGGTAGTATTCGTTTGTACCACATAGAACAATATCTATAATGTCTATGAGATTCTTATGAGAAACTTTCAATCAATCAATAATGATAATATGTGAAAAGTAAGAATTGTCTAATTTTAATAAAAAAAAAAAGTAAAAAATAAAACAAAAAATCATCGTCGAAAAATCAAATATATATATTTGTATACACCCCCCCTGCGCGGTCCTTTGCCAATACGGTTATTCCTCGCATTATATGAAATCTCGAGATCCCCAGCCTCAGCGTGGGCGGTGGCCAACTGCGGTCCGAATTTTTTATTATTATTTTAAGGTCGCGTTCGGATTTTGCACGACCGTGGTTATAGAGTATCGGACCGGCATATAAATGGAACGCTACACAATATAATGTAGCTATTGTTATTACTCTGAAAATATATAGCAAGGTTTTCGTGTGCGTGGTTCGTGTAGATAAGAAACACATACGATTCGGTCGATGCTTATCGGCCTTTAAGGTATAGGGTAGGTAATGCCCGGCACGTTCTCTGACCACAGTGACCTATATATAATAATAATGAAATAACAGCGATGTTGTGAAAAACACGGTATTCTTGTTAATTTCGCGAAATCTTAAATCTGTGTGTATTGATATTAAATATTTATTACTCCCGTCGATGACCAAAATATTACAGTAGTTAAACACCAGACGAAGAAAATAGGACTAATAATAAATATCAAAGAATGAAAATAAAATATTCAAGTATGTAGACATTTTTTAAATCAGAAATCAATAAAAATATATTTTACGGGATATGAAACAACCGCAAAGAGACCAATAATTACTCCCATATTATCACAGCTTCTATATTTACTATATTTTAGTTTCTGTACCTATTTTTAGTAATACCGAGTCCGTTGCAATTGATAACATTTTGTTTTGAAATAATCTTCGTCAGCACGGTACCTGAACATATGCTGAATAATATCCTTGAAACCAAACCTGTGGTAAAATTCACCAATAAAATATTACATTTCAAATGTATAATACTTATATGAATTACTCAAAAACCAAAAAAAATTTAATACTCGAAAACGATGTAGCTAAATTGCCTACCCAGGACGCCGTGTTACCACAATTATATAGATATATTATTTATTCTGTAAGGTAAACAGAAAAAATAGGTTGGGTTATATTATATTATACCGCCTCGTCGTCGGTTCGAACATTTTTTTTTTAGACAACGTCAAATGAGAGGCTATTATTAATCATATATTACATATTTTAAAAACTGCATTACATTTTGAATTAGAGCTACTGACTTTCCAATAAATTAACATATTGTATATTTTAAAAGATTAAATTTCTCGAGTTTCACTTAATTCTGGATTTTAAAATAAACATTAAAAGAGAAAAATCGAAGTATTATAATATTAAGATAAAGTTATACAATATTACAAATATTATTGTATAATATATTTCAAAATAGGTCAATTTAACGGTAAGTTCCCATAAAAAAAAAAAACTAAACAGCAATTTCGAATATATTTCCGGACATATCACATGTCGCATTGTTCAAGTTGAACATATGAAAATATCATGGCATATACTTTTACGTCATTCGATAAAGTATAAATAGTTGTATTATTATTTATTGCGATCGAGATTTCCATACATACACACTGTAATATTATATCTATGCTGTTTTGTTTTGAAAACGTGAAATATAATATAATAATACCCCGGTTTGCGCCGTTCCTAAGTATTCTGCCAATTAAATAAAGTAAAATCGAAAACTGCAATTTCGTCGAACAGATGAATTTTATTTCGCTAAACGTTTACTTATTCAAATACACAAGCGAGTCCAACGTAAGAACACTTGTGGATTTGCAACAGGTAAACCATGCTCTTAATTTAACGACCATTTGGCGTTAAGTAATTGCGTACAATTATTATTTACCTATATTATTCTCCTGAATCGCATCGTCGCAGCTCTATGAGTGAAGTTGAATCGTTCAGATCATAGACTAGACAACACTAAAGAATTTAATTGGGCATCGACGCCAATGAAATCGTTTATGGCCCATTATTTTAATATGGATTTGACTCACAAGTGGAGCATAATCTTAGGAGGATATGAAAAATAAGTATCTATATATTCGTTTTCTGCTGTCTTGCGCCACTGGTGGGTCAAATCAAAATCAAAATAATTAGAGATAATGATTGCATTAGCGTTGCCTATCAGCATCATATGTCATTTAATCTATGTTCGCGTTGATTTGAAGCGGGTACAAATATAACATCAGTTTTGCAAATAATTGTAGTTTGTAGAAACGTACGTGATGCGTATCGTAAATCACATTTATCCTGGCTATGCCCTGTAGGATTTCTCCAATGTAACACATTCAAAGTCTACGAAAAACTATAATGTATTTCACTATTTTAATATAAAAATGGTTCAAGCACGTATTTAATCAACACATCGGTAGTAAAATACAAACATGGGTAGGACTGCCCGCGTACCAATATCATATTATTCTCATGGTTTACACTTATGCGAATATTGTATTATATAATGATGCGTAAAGAATACCCACTCACACGCTTGCCAATATCATGATTTTATTATTTTTGTCGTTATTGTTTGTTGTTATTATTGTTTTTGTCGTTATTTCTGTCGTCGTCCGATCACCATTGAGCACAATCGCATATTTTTGTTTTTGTTTTTGTTTTTGTTCTTCTGTTCGCAGTCCGATCACGATGATCTCGGAATACACGCAAATGGACTACATCGACGGCACCAAGGTGCCCGTGTGCCTGACCAAGGCCAACACGTTCTGGCCGATAGCGTTCTTCGTGGCCATCATCGGCGCGTTCTTCGTGGTGCCGCTGTTCGTGCTGGTCGTCCTGTACACGGTGATCGCCGCACACCTGATGGCCGACCCTGGCACCAGCTGCACAGACAGCGCGTGCAACCAGCGCGCCCGCCGGCAGGTGGTGCTCATGCTGGCCACCGTGGTCCTGTCCTTCTTCGTGTGCCTGCTCCCGTTCCGCGTGTTCACCATGTGGATCATCCTGGTTCCCGAACACACGTTCCTGGACCTGGGCCTCAAGCACTACTACATCATACTGTACGCTTCCCGAGTCATGGTCTACCTGAACTCGGCCGTCAACCCTATCCTGTACAACCTGATGTCGTCAAAGTTCCGGCGCGGATTCTGCAAGCTCTGCCGGTCCCGGTGTGGCAACGTCGACGACGGTTACGACGGCTACGATGACGGCGACAGCTCGGGTGGTTGCGGCGTCGGTGGGTGCGGAGGGCGCAGGCGCAGACGACGTGGGCGCCGTCGGGACGTGTTCCGGCTCCGGCCCACCGGCACGCTCACCACGACGCTGTCGCGGTCGTGCAGCGGACCGCCGACGCGCGGTAGCAACGGAACCGGAAACAGCAACGGCACCGGAAACGGTTCGGTTCGGCGGCACGTCGACGTTACATCCGCCACCAACACGGCCGCGGCAGTAGTAACCGCTCTGTTCGGCCGTCACCGCGGCGTAAAGACGCGTCTACAGGTCGATGACGATCATCTGAAGGAGAGCTTTGTATGACCACCGCAACTGCCGCCGACTGCAGCTTTCCGCAAACTATATATTAAGCATTTTTATTAATTTGTGTCGATAATTAAAAATTGTATTTTTTTTTCAAACCCTATCGAGTATTTTAAATAATTTTTGTAAACAATAAGCAACCATATAATATACCGTAAGTAGGTATGTGATTGTACCACAATTTGAGGTAGTATATTGTGATTGCCCATCGACCAATGACAATGAGTGGCGGATCGGCAGTCACATTTAATAGACAGGACAACAGGTATTTCTCTCGTCCACTTGGATAACACGATTGATTCAATTGTTAAAATTATATTTATTATAAAACAACAAATAAAATATTCATTATTTAAGTAGTTTTGTAATTTTAGAACTATTTTTATATCCTGTAAAACCATGTGGGTCGCAATAGATTTTTGAGCGAAAATTTGGGTTGCGGTGTTAAAAAGATTGAGATGTAATGTAAAATATTTATTCACCCGTAGCCCGACTAGTCAAACTTTTAGGTTTCAGTGCGCTGGACATGTTATAATCGTTAGTCAATGGGCAACCAAACTATTTTAAAATCGATTTATTATGTCTATATTATAAATGTACTTGTAATAATATTATGTTAGTCCAGACATCGAGTCACATCTCTAGTCGAATCGTCGTTATCGTATTATTATTAGTGTTATTATTAAATAGCATTTAGTTTTTTTTTGATTTTCTACTCTTTCGTTTTTATTTAATTTTAAAAAGTTTACGACCCTATGGAGTTCAATGGACCGTTGCGCACGTCACGTGCATTTATTTAGGTACCCACATAATGTGTTTCGACATGTGGCTAACGTCGTTTTCGCGGACATTAACCGTTTTCCTAAATCTTGAAATAGCTATTATTATGATAATAATATATTATGTTCAGTACAAGTGCGCAATGTTAAGGTCAAAAGGACTTTATGAGTATTATAGGTGCACACAGACACATGTTGCGGTGCACGCCGTTGGCTCAAAGTTTTACCCGACAGCAAAATAATAAAAGTACAAATCTACGATCACGGGGCTTATTCGCACATGGCAACTGTACAATATAAAGCGCGTCCCGCCGCGGTCGTGTTCCTGTCTAAAAACTCCCAGAGACATTCACCACTTAAAAAATTAACAGCTAATAGAAATTTTAATGATTCTAATTTCAAAACATTAAATCAAATTATCAGTAGACCGAAATATGTTTTTTTTTTTTTTATCGTTTGAATAAATCAATAGTACCACCTGTGTATGGCGATTCCCCGCCGCGTTCGATTTGTAAGACACCTGATAAGTTACTGATAGATGCCGAATCTGTCGTCTATGTAAAAGGCCATATATTGTAGGTATATTATTGTTTATTTGCATCGCGTTTCAGACATATTTCGGGCGAGTAAAAAATATGTTATGGTTTTACGCGTCCACTCGACCAACAATTTTTATATTATGTTACACATTCAACTGTCGACGATAAATTCCCATGAATGAATGATTTTTGGCGCGGCGTCGAGTATTCCAACAAATTCAGATAAACTTTGTCTTGAACAATATTATTATTATTATTATTATTATTGTCATCGTCTGTGTAATATTTACGAATGCGCAAGACGATAAAATATATACGGCCGGGCGCAGCCTTCGAACTCTTTCGCTATCGGTCGTACAATTTTTTTTAACTTAAATATTTCATAACCTACATTTTTTGATTTATCGCGCGGCAATAAGTACGACACACGTGTCTGCCTCATATCATAATATATATATATATGTGTATATTCACCATATTGTATGTATATATATATTATGCGGCCACGTATGGTAACTGCTGCTGCGCCCAAAAACTTTTTCGGCACTTTCGATCTTCAAACTCATCGTAAAAATAATAACAACAATCATATTATATAAGTATAAAAAGAAAATTTATGTATTCACTCGCCCGGCGAATTTCTTTCGTAGTAAACAATTTTCATTTTAAAGATTTTTTCGGGTTTAAATAATACATTACAATATGAACTGAATGTTGTATACCGTAATGTATTGTAATACCGTACGCATTTGCCAACTGTGGGAATTGGAAGCGACTTGGAAAAAATTAATTTTTTTAGTTAAAAATGTTTTATTGAACCAGACCTTTTGCCTAAAATATTCATACAAATATAATGCAATAATTTCTTAATAACAGTGATAGGTCAATATTTTGACTGAAAAAAATTCTTTGATTTCCATGAAGTGATCGCGTGAACAACAAACCTGCTTTCATTATTTTAAAAATAAATTATAAAAACCTGAGTGATGCTTCTGCTGCATAGTCTGTTTGAATTCAATAAAACCAATAATCATTGTAGGTATACGAAAAAAACAATTATGGGCGAAATAGGACACAGTTGATTCGAACATTAGTCGTTTGTTAAATACAACTATAATACCCGTCATACCTTTTCGATATTTTTAAACTGTTGTGAGAATAATTAATTACATTTTCAAACCTTAGGGGGGTTTCCCAGAAAATTGTTCTCTTAGCATGTTATTCTATTGTGGTTTTCTGGTAGCATAATAATGGTCATAAATTCATGTAATAACTAATAATAAAATTAAAGTACCTACTCGTTTTTATTTTTTTGGTCATATTATGATTGTCTTCGTTTGTATCTCGTTTCATCATAAATTATAATATTTTTGCAACGACAACACGTGCTTAAATCGTTTCGGCATCTGCCTATCATGCAATTATTATTTTAATTAAGTATCTGCTATTCCGTCAGCCCGAATTAGGCCTGCGAACGAGTGTGACGTTCATCCGTTGATATATGTTCACGATCGTTATTACGATATTTTTATCGCGTTTTCGATAACAGTCCAAAGCAATACATAGTTTGATACGGCAGCCTGCGCATAATATATAGTAGAGTAGACAGTTTTGAAGATGTCGTCACTCGTCACGTCCATTCGAATATAGCTGGCCACGAGTAGTACTACACGGCTTTGAAATATTGAAATAATAAACTATAATAACTGTTCAGCAACATACTATCATTCTCTCTCTCTCTCTCTCTCTCTCTCTCTCTCTCTCTCTCTAATATACATATTTATACAGAGTCATGATTCACCAACCGTGCACGACTCTTTTCTGTATCGCTCAATACTTTTTGCATTTTTGAAATTTGAGCTACACCTAAAGATCATACATATTTGTAATTACTCAGATTTTTTACACAGTTCAATTAACTCGTGTCACATTTGGAAAAAAAATAGAAATCTGTACCGCGTGCCAATGGACAACTTTTCAATGGCATGAAAAACTAGTATTGGAATTAATTACATAAATCAGAGTTTAAATAAATGCATTTTATCAACAACAACAGAAAACGGGGGAGTGCGTGTTTGGGGAATCGCCCTGTATAATATGTATATCGTATAAGCTGAAGCATCACTACAGTCACCGACTCGGCACCATGTTGACGCGCACAATATTATTTCGCCGAAGTCGCATTTTCGAAATTCAATTAAAAGGCCATGCCTATAATTATAATATATTATTATTTAGCAGCAAAATATAATTCAAATATATAATATATACTATCACTCGTTGTTATTTCGTATGCTAGTGACGAGCGCTTGTAAATTGTTTAATTATATAATATTAATGAATGCGTTCCATTTTGTCTTCACGGGTTTTAATAATATTATTTGTTCCGCTTATCGCGTGTTTTTTACTTACCCGCACAAAGTCGAACACAAACGCCCACCTCGTTTGCACAACACGCACCGCACTCATAAAGTATTATATTATTATAATATTATAAATCTGAATAATAATCGCATTAAGCGTATAATACCTGCGCCCCTCTAAACGTTCAACGGTTTTATTGAAAAAGTGCATAACGCTCGGCCATACGTTGTTTTGCGTTCGTGTTATATAATAATAGTATTTTCGCTAGTAATTATTATTATACTATTACCAGAGCTAGGATTTTAATGACCTAAAAAATACACACAAATGCACTAAAAAAAATGCAAAAATGACCTAAAAAATTTAAAAAATGAACTTAAAAAATGACCAAAAAATGTACTTAGATGAGCGAAAAAAATGTATTTTAAAAATAAATATTACCATTAATAAGCAACTGCAACATTACAAACTTTACAAAAAAGCACCATACCGTCCGTAGAAACTTAATTTTTGACATTTTGTACAGTGAAGATCGGTAGAACCACATAGGTACGTGTCGAATTCACTACTAAAGCTACTATTGTATACCTTAATAGTTATGGGTTCGTTCGATGTTTAATCTTATCGGATAAATCAACCATTAATTATATTACTATTTCAATATCAATGGACTGGAGTAGGTAGTTGGGATTACCTTTACAAGATATATTACAAAATCTTAAAATAAACAAAAATTAATTTGAATACACATTTCTAATATTACGTAAAAATGACCTTAAAAATAAAATAAAATGCAAAAAATGCAAAATAAAAATTACATATTTTAAATTGTTATACAGTGGGTTCCGCTTAATGTGATCACTTTGGTGCAGGTGACTTTGATTCTATTAACCGGTTGATTCTATAAAACATTTACAACATTTTTTTCATGATTCAATCTTTTTGCACAATTACATATTTATTTATAATTACACATTTAATGTACCATACATAATAAATGACACAAGTTCAAGACGCACGAAGATAATATTGAATACCATAATAACGTACAACGATAAACTGTCATAGGTACTAATGAGTTCAAAAATAAAATTGGTTTTATAAAACAAACTTTAAGAATGTTCATAAAAGTGATTCAATTATCCAGTACTTAGTGATTCTAATAAAAGGTCAATTTAACATTAGTAACATACAATTTGGTTTGGGATTTTAATTTTTGATTCTAATAAACGGTTTATTCTATAAAAAAGTGATCACTTTAAGCTAAACTCACTATATTCGAAACAAATTTAGTTTTTGGTTAGAATTGTACAACACTTAGAGAAAAAAATGCAAAAGTCACCAAAATCTTAGCTCTAATTATTAACCTATGTCCGTTCACTATCGATCCGTATTCGACGCGTCTTCCCGTCAGTCGCCGAGACCGGAAATAATATGCGACGGTCGAGTTTTGTGGGCCCACTTGACATTCCTATACGGCTAAAAAAAATTAAAAAATAATGTACATAATATTATTTTACAATAAGCGAACGACGACTGTTCCTACTCTCGCACACAACATGTATTATACGATTGTAAGGCGTACGTTTGTTGATTTTATGTACAGTAGGTATGTATTTTATATTTGTTCTTAACGCGCGATTTTTGATAGTACGATAAACCTACGACGAACTTATCGCTAGGGCCGGGATTCAAATGCCCTAAAATCGATTAGAAAATGCTTTAAAAAATGACCAAAAATGTTCAAAAAAAAAAAACGCCTTTTCAAAATCGTTAACCTCCGACATCGAATTCACCTCAGAATGTGTGAAGCGAACGACTGCACGACTATGTGTTCGGTTGGTTTTCCGTGTCTAATATTATACTATTATAAATCACAGACTTATATAGGACGTTTGAGAAATAACAGTACATAATATTGAAGGACGTTAAAAAATAAATTGCCGTCGACTTTTTCTGGGAATACATTGTGAAAAAAAAAAAACGAGAATCGCTTTTGAAAATATTTAGCTGCGGTCGACGGGAAGATTGATGAATCTAAAATTCTAAAGTATATGCGTTTCGTAAGATAATCAATGTGTTGCTGCATTTCTTGATACCATCGATATCAGCTGTAGGGTACGACACCGAACGATGTCGGCCGAGGCCGATTGAGAATTTGTTTTGAGTTTCAAATATTTATTAAACTTCCGGTCGGGTCATTCGCGTTCCCATTACGATTTACAGATACAATCGCACAATACATTACATTATCATATATCATCATACAGACGTACGTCACCGATGGAGTATAGGTATTATTGTTATTAACATAATAATATATGTATTTTCGACTCATCAAAAATCGCGATTTAATACTCGACTAGTCACTTATAAGCAAGTTTTCTATTAATTATTATTATTATTATTATTATTATTAATATTATTACTATACACACTTAAGTATTATAATATGATTTAATATTATATAATATAACCCATTTTCGATATGTTACTGATTACCTATTGCGTATTATACCGCCGTCGCCCACCGTTTACCCAGATAATTATATTTATTTATCTATAGTGTATTTTTATTTTTTACTTATATGCACTGTTACAATATCAATATTATTGTAAATACTCAATATTGTATTATTATATTATATTACATTTTAGTTCTATAAGTACGACTATTTTTATTTTTATTTTTTTTTTTGTATACGATTTTTATGCACGACGGGAATATATATTGTACCATTTATACCTATTGGCTATTATAATGTATAACTTTATTGTTAGGCTTTGGTTAATGCATTGTTTTAAATTGTATATGACCGATACGTATTATTTATAAAATAATATAAACATTGGCGAAAATTATAAAAGTTATAAAGTTATTATTCTATATGTTCGTAATTGTCTTATGCCGTCACATTATTTATATTTAAGCCTCATTATTATTATTATATATTACACAAGTGCCTATATACTTTATCCGTGCCTGCAGAGCGCGTTTACCGCATCTGAGATTAAAAATAAATCAAAATTATTATATTATTATACATACGAGCTATATAAACATAATATGTAAAAAAAATGAGCTGCGTTTTTTTTTCTTTTTACGCCTATTGAATAATCGTAGTATATTATGCCTTAATCACACATCAAAGAGTGGGTGAGGTTTTTTCCAGACAAAATGATACTCACTTTAACACGTCACGATAATAATGCATAATAATGATAATCGGGGTTTGACTGCAGGTTAGTGGTTTGAGAGTTGTGTAGTCACCCACACCCATCACCGAAAATTAACCCTGGTTTCACTTCTGTTGCTGGTATTATATAAATGATATTATTGATATATACATACAGTTGACTCTCGGAAAAAATTGAGTAGGTATTTGTTTGCTTTTTGTAATAGCATACCGGCTGCGATAAAACCGATGCGTCGAAGTCTCGCATTTAGGTACAATTATTGGACTGCGTAAAGCCGATTATTGTGTATTCGGTTATGCGCAAGTTTTGAGTGTTCAAAAAGTTCAAACGCCCTCTCGCCCCCCCCCCCCCAATTTTGTTGGGTTATTTTACGGTTGTTAGTGATTACAAATACTATAGGTAAAGCCTCGAGATTATCAATTAGTTTATTATGAGACAACCATACGCTATACAGGTCTGCCGCCAGGCCCATTTAAAACAATTTTTTCAACAATATAATAGATTATATTTTCAATTATATTTGTACACACTACGCGTATGTACTTTATAATATCCTACGCACATGTGGTTTAATATTTAGAATACTATGTACAATCGTTCTATATCACGCATAAATAGTATTTTTCAGTAATTTGCTTTTCCACTCATTCCACGCGTACGTATTTCCACGCCAACCTGCGTTGTACAAGCTGAAATTTATATTTTATTGGTATAATACAATATCATAATAATATACAGGATGAGAAAGAGAGAGGGTGAGGGAGAGGGAGAGAATGGCACATGTGTTATATTATAATATTATATATAGCTATCTGCAACGCACCGAAGAGTCTAAAGCCGGCGAAGGAACTAAAAAAAATATGAAACGGTAGTATTTAATCATTATTATTATTATTTTTTTTTATTAATTATTTATTATTTATTTCTTATATTGGCACTGTCATAACATAGGCTTTTTTTTTATTATTCGAACATTAAAACGACTAGCTGCTTTGGCTAGAATATACTTGAGTACCTATATACATATATATTCTGCGGCGCTTTCGCCATGCGATCTGTGTTGTCATATCATATTATAAATATATCATAATATATATAGGCTTTCCAACGGTGGTGGATTTAGAACTTTCTCGCGGAGGGAACGTACCAATGTTTATGTACATATTATAATAATATGTTATTAAAGATTTC